AGGTGCACCACCAACAGTTTATAATAACTACACTAAACTATAGCTACAGGCAGTTACATATATATTCTAACACTCCCCCAAAACTGCCTGCAGCAGGAGTTTGTGCAGAACACAACCTGCAAGGGTACACCAGCAACAGCAACAGCAGGCACGGTAACAGAGCAGGTACAGCAGCAAAGGGTCAGGCGACAGCAAGACATTCCTGCCACCCCCTTACTCTCTCCCCCCCCCAACCACAGGAGGGGCAGCAGGGAGAGTGAGGAGGCGGGCTGGCTCTGGCTGGTCACCCCCTCTATCTCCTCACCCTCCCCCTCCCCCTCCCCCCCACACTACTGCAAGAGCAGCAGAGGGGGGAAGAGAGGAGAGGTGGAGGGACGGCTGCTGGTTGGTCTCACACCCGCCACCCCAGTGCCACTCCCCCGGCTCCCCCACACCCTCACACCCTCCCCCCCAGCGGCAACTACAGCAGTGGGAACGCAAGGAGGAGGAGGGGAAGGGAAGCACACCACCCATCACCCCCACACCCGCCACCCCCATACCCTCCCCCCCACGGCTGCAGGGAGACGAAGGAGGAGGGGGTGGGCGGGGAGAAAGCCGCAGAGCGGCTACAGAGGGTCGGCGCGGGTAGGTCAGGGGCGGCTGCAGCGAGTGCAGGCGCGAGGTGAGGCAGAGGCGGCTGCACCGAGTGCAGGAGCGGGGGCGGCTGCTCCAAGGGCACGCGCTGGGTGGTGCAGGGGCGGCTGCAGCGAGTGCAGGCGCGGGTGAGGCAGGGGCACCGCCGAGTGCGCCAGGGGCGGGTACGCGGTGGCCCAGGACACCGTCGCAGGCGCCAGGGGCGGTTCCGCGGCGGCTCAGGGCACCGTCGCGCACCACGGGGCACGTGACGGACAGTTTAGGGCACCGTCGCGTGCCACAGGGCGCATGACGGGCAGGGCACCGTCGCGTGCCACGGGGCGCACGACGGGCAAGGCACCGTCGCGTGCCACGGGGCGCACGACGGGCAGGGCACCGTCGCGTGCCACGGGGCGCACGACGGGCAAGGCACCGTCGCGTGCCACGGGGCGCACGACGGGCAGGGCACCGTCGCGTGCCACGGGGCGCGCGACGGGCAGAAAAGATGTCACTCGCCACCCGGGGGCGGGACAGGACGAAAATCACCACGCGCCCGAGGCGCGCGACCGGAAAAACAGCAGCGGAAGCGTGAGACGGGCCCACAGGCCCGGACTTAACAGTCTCTGATTCCATGTTGAGATAGGAGCACAAGTGGTAGTTAAGTTTAGGTAGGGCCTAGGCTTAGTAGCCTAGGCCAAGGGGAAGTCGAGAAAGTTGTGCCAAGGAGAAAGTCAAGAATGGGAATGATGTTCACTATAGCACTAGGGTACATATAGCAAACAGAGCATGCAAAGAAAGTGCACCACCAACAGTTTATAATAATTACACTAAGCTACAGCTACAGGCAGTTACATATATATTCTAACACTCCCTCCCTGCCCCCGCCCGTTCCACCCCTTCCTTCCAGGGGTCTAACCTATGAGATCTCCTCTTATCGGCGGCGGCAGCATCAACGCAGGGTGCGAGCATCGTCGGCACAATGCGGTGAGACGAAGGTTAGAGAGTTGGAAATTGTGAGATGACGAGAGGTCGAGTGGGGTGGGGGGGAAGGGGGAGAGAGATAAAGAGAGAAGGTTTCTGTGGAGTTATAGGGCAAGGCTAAGAGATAATACTAAATATTTGGGTATGTGAAAGGTTGGCTATTGTGTTGGCTCCTAAGATGCTTGGCTGTAGCACGTTTACGTAATGCAATGACGATTTGGGCACAGGTGCCTGGTGCTCCGGCCTTAGGTTGAGGGCCGCTGACGTTGGCTAGTGATTGCGAGTGTGGTAATGCAAGTTCAGTTTGAGGGTGTGCGCAATGTGTGCGCGCGTGCGTGTGTGGGTGGTCGGGTGAGCGTGAGCACGAGTCAGGGGGTGAGTGCGAGGGTTTGTGTGTGTTTCCTTGAGTGTGTATAAGAACGGTTGAAAAAATATTCGAGTGTCCGTGAGTGGTTGCGAGAGTGACTGCGAGCGTGTGCGAGAGGTGAGCACGGGTTTGAATTCGAGAGCAATAGCAGGTGTGAGAGTGAGCGTGCGCATGCACTTGAGGGTGTCTGCGAGAGTGAGTGCAAGTGTGTGTATGAGAGGGTCAATGTGAGCAAGTGCGAGCGTAAGTGCGAGAATGATTGCGAGGGTGGGTGTGAGAGCAATACGAGTATGAGTGTGAGGGTGAATACGGGTGTGGGCGCAAGAGTGAGTGCAAGGGTGAGTGTGAGGGCGAGGGTGAGTGGGTGTGTGTAATTGCATGTGTGTGATTTTCTGTGTAAGTGTGAGAGTGAGCGCGAGCATGTTCGCGAGCATAAGTGCAAGGTTGAGTGCCAAGGTTTGAGAGTGTGTTTCCCTGAGTGTGCCAAATAAAAGTTGAGAGCGACTGTGTGGGCATTAGTGGGTGGGAAAGTGCGTGCTAGAGTGAGTGCAAGCATGAGTGTGAGGATGAATGTGAGGGTGAATGCAAGGGTGGCTGCGAGGTATTGCATGCACTTAAGTTTGATTGTTTAATCACTCGTTAGTTTCATCAGCAATTTCTTTAGCGATTAATTTGTTTCTTATACATTGTGAGAGCTGCATTTTCTGATTTTGTTGTCTTTTGCAGCTCATGCAAGAATTATACTCTGATTTTGTCCTTGTTAGTGCAGGGAGTGTGAGTTGCATTTGCTTTTTTTTTTTTCCTGTGCAGGGAGTTCAAGCTGCATTCTTTGTTTCTTGCAGAGAAAAGGGAAGGGGGGGGGAGAGGGGGAGGAGACCAGGGAGGGAGGGAGGAGATTGGGGGACATGCTAGCAATCATTTATACATGGCTGAACCTAATTGATTAGGCTTGCATGCTTATTAGCTGTATGTTTTTGTGCTGTGTGTGTATGTGTGTGTGATCCTGTATGTGTGCGTGCGTTGTCAGAATCCCAACCACTAGACCATTGGGATAAAAGGGCTTGTTAAGTAGCGGGTCAGTGCGCCCATAACCCCCCAGGCCAACGTGCCTGTAACCCTTCCCTAGGATCAATCGGGGATCACCAGTGGACCTCTGACACCCCCCCGCACTGGGATGCTCGAAGTGCATACACCGGGAATCGAACCCGAGACCTTCACTCTGATACCATGTCAGAATCCCAACCACTAGACCATTGGGATAAAAGGGCTTGTTAAGTAGCGGGTCAGTGCGCCCATAACCCCCCAGGCCAACGTGCCTGTAACCATTCCCTAGGATCAATCGGGGATCACCAGTGGACCTCTGACACCCCCCCGCACTGGGATGCTCGAAGTGCATACACCGGGAATCGAACCCGAGACCTTAGCTCTGATACCATGTCAGAATCCCAACCACTAGACCATTGGGATAAAAGGGCTTGTTAAGTAGCGGGTCAGTGCGCCCATAACCCCCCAGGCCAACGTGCCTGTAACCATTCCCTAGGATCAATCGGGGATCACCAGTGGACCTCTGACATGCGTGCACGTGTATACGCATGTTAGTGTCTGTGTCTGTTTCGGGGTGTGGTGCTAAGTGCCTCGTAAATGCAACTGGGGTTGTGATCGTTGGTGGGGCAGCTTTGCTCGCCTCTTCCATACCAGATCAATTACAATTGCATTATCGATGCATTCTAGCATTAGCTTCGATGCATTCACAACGGTTATCGTTTTTGCACATGTTTGTGTGCTTTCGTTTGTGTAACGTGTTGTGTCTGTTTTGGGGTGTAATGCTAGGTGCCTCCGTGTATGCAATTGAGGTTGTCATCGTCGGTGGGGCAGTTATGCTCGCCTTTTCCGCACCACATCAATCTCAGTTGCAGCATTGATGTATTTAGTAATCGCTTCGAAACAGGCACGATTTCCAAATGTGGTTTTTATATACGTTCACGCGTGCGATAGTTTGTGTATGCGTCTTAGGGCGTGTTGTCATTTGGTCCAACCAATTTTTCCATTCGCCGTACTTATTGATGACTATGGAATTATTGGGTACAGTTGGTTTCACATTTTTGGGGAATTTAAACAGTTGAACAGTGTTCTTTTCCCAAAAAGGTTAGGGAAAATCACTGTTCACGGTCAGTTCCCCAAAAAGCGAAACAAAATGTATAAGGTTGCTACGCAGCCCAAAAAGTACACGAGCCAATAAGAATCGAGAGCGTTTCTTCAACCACAGCAATATCAACCAGCAACATCAATCCACCCATCATTCTAGGTCTCATTGCTTGTCATCCTCATTCACTTCTCCAACCCCGCCCATCTCTCATTCCCCGCTCCCTCTCCCGTCACCCCCCTTCACTCACTCCTCATTCCCCCTTCACTCACTCCGCATCCCCCTCTCACCCACCCCTTATTTCGCCCTCACTCACTCCTCGTTATCCCGCCACCCCCGACCTGCCCCCCACCTTCCTTGCTCGCTGCTCTCCTCCTGGCATCACGCAGAGGGGAAGGAGTAGTGGTTCAGCAGCCTCCACACCACACTCGCAACGGCGCCATCGTGATTACCTGTACCACTACTATCATCACCACTACTATCGACACCACTGCTATCATCACCACTACTATCATAACCACTACTATCATCACCACTACCATCACCACCACTACCATCACCACCACCTCCTCTGCCTACCACCTCTGCTCGTCTCTGCCCACCTTAAAGCCCGAAGTCAGCATGGTTTTTGCAACAGTGACGCGGGGGCTTTAAACATGTTCGCGTAAGGCATAAAAAAAAAACATTTCGAGAACTGAACAGGTGCAAAAGCGAAATCAGGCAGCGACGAGCTTCAGCATTCGTCACCCAACTGTGCGACACTGCACCACGAGTTTGGTGCTTGGAGGGGGTTAAAAAGCGAAGCCATGTGTGTCGATTGGTTTGAAAATGCACGCTTCTCGTCGCCGTCGCCTATGTTCACTCCCCTCCGTCGCCCACGCGACCATTCTCGCGTCAATGTCTCACACTTCCCTCCATCGCCATAGCTCACTCCCTCTCATCGCCCTCGCGCACTCCCCTCCCGTCGCCTTCGCGCACTTCCCTCCCGTCGCCTTCGCGCACACCCGTCCCGTCGCCTTCGCGCACTCCCCTCCCATCGCCTTCGCGCACTCCCCTCCCGTCGCCTTCGCGCACTCCCCTCCAAAGAGGATGATCACTCCCTCCCGTCGCCCACGCTTCCTTCCTGACGCACGATCACGCTCCCTCCCCTCCCGTCGCCTTTGCGCGACGCCTCTTTCGCCCCTCCTCACTCCCTTCCGTCGCCCACGCTCACTCCCCTCCCGTCGCCCACGCTCACTCCCCTCCCATCGCTCATGCTCACTCCCCTTACGTCATGTACGCGCACACCCATCCGTCACTACTAACGCTCCCTCCCTCCCGTCGCCCACGCTCCCTCCCCTCTAACGAGAATGGGGACTCCCCGCGCCTTGCAACTCTCCTTCCTCCTGCTACGCCACACCCCACACTCTCGTCTCCCCATCCCTCATCTCCCCTTCCCTCGTCTCCCCATCCCTCATCTCCCCTTCCCTCGTCTCCCCATCCCTCATCTCCCCATCCCTCATCTCCCCATCCCTCGTCTCCGCATCCCTCGTCTCCCCATCCCTCATCTCCCCTTCCCTCACCTCCCCGTCCCTCATCTCCCAATCCCGCATCTCCCCATCCCTCATCTCCCCATCCCGCATCTCCCCATCCCGCATCTCCCCATCCCTCACCTCCCCATCTCTCACCTCCCCATCCCTCATCTCCCCATCCCTCACCTCCCCATCTCTCACCTCCCCATCCCTCATCTCCCCATGCCTCACCTCTCCATCAATCATCCATCCATCCCTCATCTCCCCATGCCTCACCCCATCTCCGCCGCACCCCGTGGAATCGTCACACGTCGCCATTTCCCACCTCTTCCTACTTCCCATCCCCCTCTTCCGCCCTTCCTCCCCCCTTCTCTCAATCCCTTCCTCTCGCCCTGCCATCCTACTTCCCATCCCCCTTTCCTCGTTTCCCCAGACCTCCTTTCCCCATCCCGTCATTCACTCTCCCTCCGTTCCCCATCCTTCCATTCCCCATGCCTACTTTCACCATTCCACCATACCCCATTCACCATACTCCTAACCCCATCTCCTCCTCACCCCATCTCCTCCTATACACATCCGCTTCTTTCCCCTTCCCTCGTCACCGCGTCCCCTCCTCTCCCCATCCCCTCCTCTCACCATCCCCTCTTCTCCCCACCCCTCCCGTCCTCTCCCCATCCGCCCATCCCACCTCACCACTTCCCTCCTCTTCCCATCCATCCTCTCCTCATCCCTCCCCACCCGTCCTTTCCCCATCCGATCCTCTCACCCTCCCCTCCAGGTGTTTCCCACACCGCCCTCGGCCCAGCAGCACCTCTTCATCCCTTGTGCTTTTCTGCACCAGGGAGCTGCCTGGGGCGCTGTGGGTGGATGGCGGTGGGCACAGTCACACAGCATAGGCACACGTGGTGCTGCCTGTCCTCCCTTTCCCCCGTCCTCCCTCCCCATCCATCCTTCCCTTCCTCTGTTCCTCTCTTCCTCCATACGTCCCTTCCTCCGTTTCTCTGCCCCTCTTTTCCCCTGGTCGTCCTTCTGTTTGTCTCCTACCGTTCCAGGAGTGTCTTTTTATTTCTTTCTCTTCGTGTTGCTTCCTTGTCAGTTGTCATTCTTTTGTATGCTTACCGGCTGGAATGTTGGTTGTTTGATAGTACCCCTAGGTATGATACATGGCCGTGGGAATGTTGTATGCTTATTATTATAACTAAATTTTGATACATGGAGTAGAGTGACCATTTGTTGGGCTGAAAAATGCCTTAGGATCTTTGCAGGGGTGAACTCTGGGTAGAGTTGGTGTAGTACCGTCATCGCCCGGATATAAGACATGTATGTCTTATCTCATACATTAAAAAAATCAGTCTTATAAATGGACAAAAATCCGTTTAGAAGATACTTCCTCGTTATACATTTGCCATTTGCCTCTACACACAAATAGGTGTCTTATAATGAGGCTACCCCGTTTATAAGAGACACCCGTATAATAGACAACCCCTGTCTACTATTCAACACTGTCTTATATCCGAGTGATGACGGTAGCGGAAGCATTAATAAAGAGTTGTGAACCACCTTGTGCTAGTATGTGAGCGCAAAGTAAGTTGATTAAAACAAGGAGATACAAGAATATATATGAATACAGGGAATATGAAAAGACACAGTTATAACTACTTTACTGTTGCTGTTGCGGTTCGATAGAGTGACAACTCGGGCAACTGCTCTGTAACGAGTCAGTTGTGTGTCCTTGCTATCGCGCTGAATTTGTCAGGTCAAAGGCCGCTGACCTTTGACTTTCGCATAACCTCCAGCGGTTACTTCAACCTCCGAGGGTTGACTCGCTGGTGCCTCGATATGCTTTGCTTCGCTTGTGCCTTAGTGTTTCGACACGACAGAAGCGCTTAGGACCGATTGTTTCCAACACTCCCCTTCGCTTCTGGAGTGTCGCTGACGTGGCTCTGTCCATTCAGCAGCATGCAGTAGTCGAACTTCTGCTTTCCGAGCTTCTTGGTCAGGTAGTCAGCTGCCATCTCGGACGTGGGGCAGTATGACAGCTCGAGCCTTCCCTTCTCGATCTCGTCCTTCACGAAGAAATATCGCAGGGCGATGTGTTTCGTCCTGTTCGCGAAGCCGTTCTTGTTGGCGATGCGAATTGCCGACTGGTTGTCGCAGAACAGGGTAATGTTGGGTAACTCGACTAACTTCGCTTCTTCCAGCAACTCGCGAAGATAGAGTCCTTCCTTGGTGGCTGAGCAGAGTGCAATATATTCTGCTTCAGCTGACGAGAGAGCAATTAGTTCCTGCTTGCTCAATTGCCAGGAGATAGGTCCGATAGGTTCGAGGCGGTAGATGTAGCCGGTGCGCGATCGTCTGTTGTCGGAGTTGCCCGCGTGATCTGCGTCGACGTAACCGATTAGCTTAGTCGTTGTAGTTGCGTTCTTATGGTAAGTCAGGCCGACCGTCGGGGTACTGACAAGGTAGTGGAGAGCGCGGTCGAGCTCCGCCAGATGTTCCGCTTCAGGCTTCTTGAGGTAGGTGGCGAGCTGGCTTGCAGAGTAGGATAGATCTGGGCGGCATGTGACAGCTGCGAAGAGAAGGCAGCCCAGCTTTCTCTGGTAGTCGCGTATGCCGGCGGGCTTGAGTAGAGCGGAGCCTTCCTTGTTGTTTGCTGTCGTGTAGCGGTACGGTGTGGAGATAGCAGTCGGTGTGAGTGCGAAACGCTTGGCGATGGTGTCGGCGTATTTTGCGGCGCTGAGGTAGATGGCGTCTTCCTCTTCCCGGATGTTGAGGCCGAGGTCCTGTGTGACGGTAGATGAGACCGTGAGTGTGAGGTCTTGCTGTAGCTCCCCTTCGAACCAGGTTGTAATGCCGTCAGTTGAGCCGATGTAGAGCAGATCGTCTACATAGACGATTAGCAGGATGTAGTCGGTACCCTTCGTGCGCCGGTACATGCCCTGGTCGTGCGGCAATTGCTTGAAGCCGATGCGAATGAGGCGAGCGTGTAGGTATTGTTGCCATAGTCGCAGAGCTTGCTTGATGCCGTAGAGCGACTTGAGTAGTTGACAGACGTGGTTCGAGTCCGTGCTGGAGTCGTGTGGTAGCTCGACAAAGATCTCTGCGTCAACAGGTGCGTAGAGGAATGTGTTAGCGACGTCGATTTGCCGCAGCTTCTTCTTCTTCATGGTGGCGATCGCGAGAAGGATGCGTAGCGAGGTGTGTCGGCTGACCGGAGCGAATGTTTCGGTGAAATCACGTCCGTGCTCTTGGTCGAAGCCGCGTACGACCCAGCGTGCCTTAAATTTGTCGATGGTGCTGTCAGCCTTTGTCTTCACACGGAAGACCCACTTCCCGGTGAGTACTGTCTTGTTCCGTGCCATGCCGATAGGAACCACTTTCCACGTGTTGCGTTCCTCCAGTGCCTTCAGCTCCTTGTCCATGGCTTCGCGCCACTTTTCCTTATGTTCTCCCCCCAGAGCCTGCTGAACCATCGCAGGCTCTTTAGGAGTGGCGGGGCCGTGGACTGCGGTGACGAGTCCGAGAATCTGCAGTCCACTCTATGAGTAGCGGGGAAGATTTATATCCTCGGGATAAGCTGCTTCATCTCCCACTTCTGGATAAGGTATGAAGTTTGGTCCTACTCGTTTTGCTTCGTTGGTGTTGACTGTCGCAGGTGTTACCATCTGTGGGATCTTCGTCTTCTTGCAGGTTGGCAAGGTATGTCTGGAGCGTGAGTCGTTCGTAGAAAATTACGTCACGTGCGGCTACTGTTTCCTTGGAGTGGACGTCGACGATTTTCCACGCGTTGTAGTTCTTTTCGATTCCCAGGTGTAGTCCCCACTGTGCTCGTTGAGAAAATCGACCCGCTCGTGCTGCTGGGGGTCGGTACTGTACCATGCATCCGAATACTCGTAACATTTTTGTGCTGCCCTGTTTCCCTGTCCATAGCAGACGCGGTGATGCGTTGTTCAGAAGCGATGATGACAACAGCAAGTTGTGCAGCATGACGGCGTGGTCCATTGCAGCAGGCCATTGGTGGTTGGGTAGCCGCATGCCACGTAACAATTTGCGCATGCTGTTCTGCAGGGTCCTATTCATTCTTTCTGCTACTCCTTGCTGGTGATGGGCGTAGGGAAGGGAGATGAGCTGCTTGATTCCCCTTTCCGCCAGGTATTGCTTGAACCGCTGAGAGGTGTATTCTCCTCCTCCGTCTGACTAGAAGCTTTTCAGTTGCACGCTCGATTCTCTCTCTGCTACTGGTAGCCAGGCAACGAAGGCTGCGAATGCCATGTCGCGGCTAGGGAGGTTTAGGTGCCAGACGTAACGGGTGGCGGCGTCGATGAAGGTGATCGTGAAGTTGTATGTTACTTGTCCTGGTTCCCAATTGAACAGGATGTCGCTATACACCTTCTCGAGTGGTGCGTACGCGGGAGCGCTCGGGTTGTGATGAGGTGCGAACGGTCGATGTGGTAAGTCACCTTTAGGGCAGGTGAAGCACGTTCCGCGTACTCGTTGAAGTTCTCGTCCGTCGGTCAGTAGGAGTGAGTCTTTGTCGAGTACTCTTGCTCTTATTGTATTATTTAATACTGTGTTGCTTGGATGTCCCATCCTTGCGTGCCAGGTGCTTTCGTCGGCGCGATGTCCGAGTGATCGTCGGTACATGTCGGAGTTGGAGTAGAAGTTGGCGGTGAAGTTGGCGCTACGATGAGTTTCTCGTGGTGCTGGGTGTAGTTGTTGCGCGGGTGTTGGTGGTGTGTCGTCGATGAGGAGCGGTATCGTTGAAGGACCAGCGGTTGGTGTTGACGTTCCTGCTGCTGCCGTTGATGGTTCTGCTACTGCCGATGTTGTCTCTGCTGCTGCCGACGTTGTCTCTGCTGCTGCCGATGTTGTCTCTGCTGCTGCCAATGTTGTCTGAATTGTTGCTAATGCCCTTGTTCTTTCTGCTTCAGGGATGGTGTGTGAATACCAAAAGCCTTCTGGACTGAAGTCTGGATCAAGGTCTGGAGGGTGTGTTCAGTTGGTGAAGTTAACGATGGCGTCGCTGTCGGCGGTGCCAAGGTCAGGAACGAAATCAAGAACGAAGACGTTGTTCTTGAGGACCGCCTTGCCGATGTAGAGTCCTCCTCTCCCGTGATACAACTTGAATTCTTGGGTGGTGCTGTCTGCTTCGAGGTGAATCCCTTTCGCCATTAGCTGACTGGCGCTCAGTAAGTTGTAGCCGAGTCCCTCCGCGATTAGTACTTTTGACATCTGCAGTATGACGTTTGTTTCCCTTTACTGAAGTTGAACTACGCCTTGTCGCCGTGTTCGCAGGTTTTGATTGTTGGCGACTGTAATGACAACTTCGCGTTGAAATTGGTGTTCTCGTTGAACGAAGCGTCCCGAGGAGCACATGTGTTGTCCGCAGCAACTGTCCAAGAACCATGTGTCCCTTCCGGATGGTTCGCTTTGGGCGATGGCGGCGTATGTCGGGTTCGGCTGAAGTGACTCGCGGCGGGGTGTGGTTTCGTCGAGTTGTTCTTCCGGTGAGTAGTGTGGTGGTGACTCGGTGATGCAGGAGTCTGTCAGCTTTGCCATGCAGCTGACGATGTTTCTTGCTCCTTGTGCAGGTTGTCCTGTTGAGATCGTTGAAGCTTGAATCTGAGTCGTGGGATTTACTTGCGTTGAGGCGATTTGGCTGCTTGAAGGTCGAAGTTGCCGCTGTGGGGTTGTTGACTGTTGACGATTCGGGCATTGTGTACGTGGGTGTCCTGAAGTTTTGCAGATGTGGCAGAACGGAGGTACTGGCTTCGGTTGTTGCTGCCGGTTGTTGTTGTTGTTGTAGCGTCGCTGAGTGTGGAACGCGAATTCCGGTGCTGATGTCTTCTTTTTGTGTCGTTCTTCTTGCAGGTCCATGTCTTGCTGCTCGGCGTGGATTTCGGCGCAGAGCGCTGCTTCGGAGATTCTTCCGTGAGCTCGGAGAATGGCCTTTGTGGCGCGCCATTGAGGACCGAGGCCGCCGATGATGACTGTCACGAAGGCGTCTTCAGAGATCGACCCTCCGCATCGAAGAAGCTTGTCGCGCAACTCGCGACATCGAGTGATATACGCCATTCCTTTTTCCCCTGGTTTCATTTCAACCGTTGTCAGTTGCACCATTAACCGACTTTGACTTACGCTGTCTGTTGCTTGATACAGGCTCTTCAGGTGGTTGTACGCGAGCTCCGCGGAGTTACCGTAACCTGTCCTTATGTTCTGCTGTTGAGTCGGGGTGATGTTCCTCAGTAGGATCGTGTACGCCATCATTGACTGATAGGTGTACTACTGCTTCTCGTACTGTGTGCCGTTTGTTGGGTATGGCAGAGACCCGTCGAAGAACCCGAGTATCTGCGCACCTTCCATCATCAGCTCAAACTCGAACGACCAGGTGAAGAAGTCCTTTCCATCAAAGGGTCTTGGCGTCTGCATCTTCATAACGTGTGCGCACTGCGACTGAACTTGTAGTGCGTCCAGTGGTTTTTCTTGTCCAGGTGAGGGCTGTGGGTGTGGCATGAAGCTGATGGACTCGCGCTCGTATGGAGCAAAGGTAGGCTGTTGTTGCTGATTTCCTCGTGCATACGATGAGCCGTCGAGACTCATGGGTGTTGCTCCGTTGTTGTTGTTGTTGTGTGACTGCGCAGGTGCCGATTGCTGGTGTTGCTCGTAGAAGGACATGAAGGAGAAAAACTTCTCCATCATGCTTTGGTCGAAGTCTGCAGGTTGATTCGCGGGAGTCTCAGTAGATGTTGCTCTGGGTCTTGTTGCCGTGCCCTCATCTGTCTGTAGGCCAGAGGCAGGAGGTGGAGTAGGAGTAGTGCCCTGGGAGCCGTTGGAGTTGCTCCTTTCCTTTTGTGTAGCCATGCTGATTGATACTAATGGTATAGAAGTTGAATTCCCCCTGATAGCTCTCATACCATGTTGGGCTGAAAAAGGCCTTAGGATCTTTGCAGGGGTGAACTCTGGGTAGAGTTGGTGTAGTAGCGGAAGCATTAATAAAGAGTTGTGAACCACCTTGCGCTAGTATGTGAGGGCAAAGTAAGTTGATTAAAACAAGGAGATACAAGAATATATATGAATACAGGGAATATGAAAAGACACAGTTATAACTACTTTACTGTTGCTGTTGCGGTTCGATACAGTGACGACTCGGGCAACTGCTCTGTAACGAGTCAGTTGTGTGTCCTTGCTGTCGCGCTGTATTTGTCAGGTCTAAGGTCGCTGACCTTTGACTTTCATGTAACCTCCAGCGGTTACTTCAACCTCCGAGGGTTGACTCGCTGGTGCCTCGATATGCTTTGCTTCGCTTGTGCCTTAGTGTTTCGACACGACAGAAGCGCTTAGGACCGATTGTTTCCAACACCGTTGACCACCTACGGAGTGCAACAATCTAGTAAAAAAAGAACCAAGTTACTCAATAATATGTCTTTTCCTACTCTTGTCTGCATACACAGCAGCAAAAAAAAAAGGACTTGTGGGTCCCTCCCTACACCTGGTGCTGGGGACCTGTACAGAATGAGCAGGAAAAAACAGAGTTCAGGGGAGACATTGAGCAGGGGGGAAAGAGAGTGAGGAGGGGGGAAGAGAGTGAGAAGGGGGGAAAGGGAGTGAGCAGGGGGAAAGAGGGTGGGCATGGGGGAAGGGAGTGAACAGGGGGGGAACAGAATGAGCAGGGGGAAACAGAATGAGCAAGGGGAAAGAGAATGAGCAGCGGGGAAGAGAATGAGCAATGGGGAAAGAGAGTGAGCAGGGGGGAAGAGAATGAGCAATGGGAAAACCGAGTGAGCAAGGGGGAACAGAGTGAGGAGGTGTGAAGAGAGAGAGCAAGGGGGGAGAGAGCAGGGGGGAATAGAGCAGGGGGGAATAGAGCAGGGGGAAATAGAGCAGGGAGGAATAGAGCAGGGGGGAAAAGAGCAGGGGGGAATAGAGGAGGGGGGGATAGAGCTGGGGGGAATAGAGCAGGGGGGAATAGAGCAGGGGGGAATAGAGGAGGGGGGAATAGAGGAGGGGGGGATAGAGCAGGGGGGAATAGAGCAGGGGGGAATAGAGCAGGGGGGAATAGAGCAGGGGGGAAAAGAGCAGGGGGGAATAGAGCAGGGGGGAATAGAGGAGGGGGAGATAGAGCAGGGGGGAACAGAGCAGGGGGGAATAGAGCAGGGGGGAATATAGCAGGGGGGAACAGAGCAGGGGGGTATTGGGCAGGGGGGAATAGAGCAGGGGGGGATAGAGCAGGGGGGAATAGAGCAAGGGGGAATAGAGCAGGGGGGAACAGAGCAGGGGGGAATAGAGCAGGGGGGAATATAGCAGGGGGGAATAGAGCAGGGGGGAATAGAGCAGGGGGGAATAGAGCGGGGGGGGGATAAAGCAGGGGGGAACAGAACAGGGGGAATTAGAGTGAGGAGGAGAGAGTGAGCAGGGTGGAACAGAGCAGGGGGAATAGAGCAGGGGGGAATAGAGTGAGGAGGAGAGAGTGAGCAAGGGGAAACAGAGTGAGGAAGGGGGAGCAGAGTGAGAAAGGGGGAAGAGAGTGAGCAGAGGCAAAGAGAGTGAGCAGGGGGGATGCGAGTGAGCAGGGGGAAAGTGAGGTCGACGGGAGGGGGAGAGCGAGGGCGGCGGGAGGGGGAAAGCGATGGAAACGGGAGGGGGAAAAGCACGGAAGGGGATGGGGGGAAGCAGGGAGGGGGATGGGGGAAAGCAGGGAAGGGGACATGGGGGAGCAGGGAAGGGGATGGGGGCAAGCAGGGAAGGGGACATGGGGAAGCAGGGAAGGGGATGGGGGGAAGCATGGAAGGGGATGGGGGGAAGCAAGGAAGGGGATGGGGGGAAGCAGGGAAGGGGTGGGGGCAAGCAGGGAAGGGGATGGGGGGAAGCAGGGAAGGGGACATGGGGAAGCAGGAAATTGGATGAGGGAAAGCAGGGAGGGGGATGGGGGGAAGCAGGGAAGGGGTGGGGCGAAGCAGGGAAGTGGATGGGTGGAAGCAGGGAAAGGTGACAAGTGTGCGCGATGGGAAGGGAGACTGGAGGGATGGCGAGGGCGACGGGGAGAGTGGAAGATGGGGATTGCGAGGGGACGAGCGGGAGGCAGGGCGTCGGGACGAAGGGAAGGCTACGGGCGGAAGGGAGAGCGGCGTGCAGAAGGGAGAGCGACGGACGGGACAGAGAGCGACGGGCGGAAGGGTTGGCAACGGGCGGAAGGGTAGACGACGGGCGGAAGGGAGGGCGACGGACGGAAGGGAGGGCGACGGGAGCGACGATCGGATGGGAGGGCGACGCGTAGCAGGTAGAGCGGCGAACGGATGGGAGGGCGACGGGCGAAAGGTAGAGCGACGAGCAGGGCGACGCGCGGAAGGGAGGGCGACGAGCGGAAGGGATGGCGGCGAATGGAAGGGACAGACGGTTGGAAGCGTGGGCGACGAATAGAAGGGGGCGCGATCGTGTACTACGAGTAACGAGAGCCAAAGGACCTTGGTGTTGCGGGCAAGCGAGGGCAAATGGGGGAACCTAAGCGACCAGCAACCTAGCTCTAGACCAGGGAGAAAATAGCAGGAGCATCGTACGCGTATTCGTACGGAAGTTGTATGCTAAAACAGAGTCTTTTTTGGTGTGTGAATGACGGGTAAACTTAGTATGGTTGCATGTTAGTACCAGATGGTTTTCAAGTTCACTTCAAGTGAACAGTGCTGCATTGCTAGCGGACACTCTGCTCGATATGAAATTTCAGTGTCGCTGGCCAATCACATATCACTATCTAGCGAGAATGCTGAACTTCGGGTGGTAACACGGTTTTTTGCGGATTCATATTCAGGAATCTTGAACTTGAAAATAGCCATGTGCATCAAGAATGATAGTGTTGGTTCATTGAAATGGGTTGGGGTACATATAACAAACCCTAACATCTGCACCCCCTAAGACAAACCTCACTACAGGCTACAACATTTGACACACCCCCATAGCCTAAGTGAGGGGTGTTAGGCAAAACCAAAAGTGTACGATCACAAGACCAATCACAAAGAAACAAAGCTCAGGGTGGATCACAACGTCACCACACACTCTAAGCACAAACAACAGGGGCCACAAAGCCAGTTCGAGAGTTCACAAGTGTGTACAGCAAGAGTACAAGCAAAGCAAACAGTAGACTCAAGCCTATACACGACTAGAAACTGTGTCAACAAGGCCTAACTGCACACAACACCTCTGATGGTCACAAGGTAAAAGCGCCTTGGTGAAGATGTCTGCAGTGTTGGCCTCGGACTCCACAAACTCGAAGTGAGCCTGTCCACATCTCTGCAACTCTCGCAGAAGAAAGTACCTGACGTTAATGTGCTTCACTCTGCTCTCCAGTCGCGGCTCTCGACAAAGGAGAATCGACGCCTTGTTGTCAGTGAACAAGGTCGGTGCAGAGCTCAGCCGCTCACCAAGGTCGGTGAGCAAGAAGGTCAACCAACACAGCTCCTGTGCCGCCATAGCACCAGCGTAGATCTCAGCCTCAGTTGTAGAGGTCGAGACCGAAGAGGAGCGCGTGGACCACCACGAAACAGCTCCAGAACCCAAGCTGAAACAGTACCCCTGAGTAGACCAACGAGTCTCAGCGTCGTCAGCGTAAGAAGAGTCACAGTGACCAGTAAGTACGACAAGCTGCTGCCCTCCAAGAACTAGCCCCACGCCTGATGTCGTCGCTAGGTACTTCGCCACCCTCACAGCTGCCGTCCAGTGAACATGACGGTGTCTCCCTAGCGCAACAAAGCGAGCAAGGATGCTGAGAGGGAAGGCGAGGTCCGGGCGAGTGCAAGTTATCAGGTACATGAGGCAGCCCACCAGCTTTGCGTAGGGACCACTACACTTGAACGGCTCGTCAGGAAAGGGTCCAGTAAGTCTGTGGTCAACAGCAAGAGGTGTGCGCTGTACTGTGGAGTGCTGAAGCTCGAACCGCTGAAGTACCTGCTGCACCATGTGTGACTGTGAGAGTGTAATGGTGCAAGCAGCTCTGTCCCTGGTGATCTGCAGGCCAAGGTAGTGGCGCAGCTCACCAAGGTCAGTGCACATGTGTCTCTTCTGCAGTTTGGACTTCACGTCTGCCAAGGCAACCTTGTTAGCAGTGGCGAAAACCAGGTCGTCGACGTAGACCAGAACAAAGAACGGTGTGGAGCCACGACGAACGAGCAGCGACGGGTCAGCAGAAGACGGCTGGAACCCAAGGTCAGAGAGGGTAGAACGAAGAGTGTCGTGCCACTCACGAGGAGCCTGATGAAGACCGTAGACAGGTCGCCTCAGCCTCCACTGGGTCCCAGGAGAGAAAGTATCAGTGAAGGCAGAGGAACAACGCAACCTGACCTCCTCGTGTAAGCTACCGTAAAGGAAAGCAGTGGAGAAGTCGAGAGAGTGAAAGTCGTAGTCTCTCTGTGCTGCTACGTGCAGTAACACCCGAAGAGTGGTCATCTTCGAGGTAGGCGCGAAGGTCTGAAAGAAGTCAACTCCCTCGCGCTGACTAAAACCTCTAGCCACGTAGCGCGCCTTGAATATCGGAGGAGATTCCGGTGGCCGCTTCACCCTGTAGATCCACATGCCATCAACTACGTTCGCCCAAGGGGGGGGAACCTCGTCGACGTAGGTGCCTGTGGATCTATAGGAGGCCATCTCTGCGTCCATGGCAGCTCTCCGCTAAGAGGCCCAAGGCCCTGACACTGCCTCAGCGCAAGTGCGAGGATTCGGTATGTCAAGGGCGTCGGGGTCTCCCTCAGGGGCGAGCAGCATGGCACAGCGATGTGGGGAAGCGGCTGCCAGGAACTCTAGCTCAAACTACCTGTCCTCTAGGGCGTCACAGCCAAGGGCAGACTCACCCCCGACGGCCAGAGGACTGGTAGGAGGAGCAGCCACAAGACCGGTGGCGTAGTCAAGGCGGCGAGTAGAGGCAAACTCAGTAACTGCGGCAGTAAGGGCGGAGACAGAGGAGACAGAGGCACGAGGGTCGGTAACAATAGAGGCTAGAACACGAGAGGCGACAACACGAGAGAGAACAGGATGGTACGTGCGGTAGTAGTAAATGACAGGAGTAGAGAGAGAAGCAGTGAAGGCCGACTCAGGAGGAGACGTAAGGAGAGACGGAGACGAACGAGGCGGACTAGAACGAAAGAGGGTAGTACGAAGGTCAGTAACGAGAACAGGAGACGAGAGACGAGCACGAGGGGAGAGACGAGAGGCCCAAGTCTGAGAAGGAGGAGGGGATAACTGAGGCTAAGAACGAGGGAAAACAGCTGGGGAGGGATCAGGAGGAGGAAGCGGAGGACCCGAGATGGGAGGAGAGGGGGAGGAGGAAGGAGAGCGAGAGGGGAGACCGAGGGCCCGAAGACCAGAGACAGGAGGAGGAGGCAGCGGCGGCTGCTGCTGCTGCGGCAGCTGCTGCTGCTCGTCCTGCTGCTGTAGCGGCTCCAGCTGCTGCGCCTCCTGCTGCTGCGGCGGCTCCAGCTGCAACTGCTGCAGCTGCTTCTGCTGCTGCTGCTCCTCTAGCCGGTGCAGCTCTCTCTCCTCTCTCTCCAACTCCAGCTGCTCCTCACGGACACGGCAAACACGAGCCTGGTGCCGGGTCGGTTAGGGGTGGGGGGGAGGAGTAGTGTCGGAGGCTGTGGCAGCCCCGGGACCGCCCTCCAAAGCACCTGGCGCACCACCCCCAGAGTCAGCACCACCAACAGCAACACGACCAGGCTCACCAGGTGCCAAAGAGGGTGCACCCGCACCCCAAGACGTAGCACCCCCAAAGTCAGCAGGACCAACACCAGCTCCCGGAAGACAAGAGTCTCCTGCAACCAAAGGCTAAGCTCCAACTCCAGCACCCCCAGAACTAGCACCTGTAGGGCCCTCTCCACGAGCACCGGCTCCCGCAGGGTCTACAGTAGGCTGCGAGGAGGACTGCATGGAAGGAGGCTGCACCTGAGGGGCTACTGAGGGGGGGGGGGTAGCATGGGACACACCTGACGGGGCGGGACCAGGGGGGGGAGGTTGTACCGGGGGAGCAGGAGGGGGAGCGGAAGTCAGGAAGAGAGGGGGGGGAGGAACCGGGAGACCTCGTGTGGGGTACCTGATGTAGTAGGGGGTGGACTCCTCGAAACGGACGTCACCGGAGTCAAAGAACTGGTGAGAGGGAGGGTGGTAAAAGGTGAAGTCAGAGGAGACCTTAGGGAAACCAAGGAAGATACAGGGAACGGCGCGAGGTGAGAGCTTGTCCGCGGAAGTGTCGCGGACAAGAGCCAAGCAACCCCAGACACGAAACCTAGACGCAACACCAGGGGACCCGGTCCAAAGACTGGTCGGTGAAGCCTCTGGCCGAGAGACGCGTGGCCAGAGGTTCAGCTGGTGAGCGGCGTACCTAACCGCGTAAGGCCACAGAAAATGGGGGGCACGGGCTTGAGTCAAGGAGGTGCGGGCGATCTCCATGACCAAGCCTATGCGGCGCTCAGCACCCCCATTCTGCTGTGGGGACTCTGGAAGCGTCCAGGACTGACGGATGCCCTGCTCGCGACAGAATCCAGCGAGAATGCCAGAGCGAAACTCACCCCCACGGTCAGAGTGAAGACAACTGACACGACGACCACGAGTGCCCTCAGTGGTACAGCTTCGGGTTTCCCCGAGGCTACAATCACAGCAATCGCTTTCCACCGGATTTGGGTTGAGACGTCTGACGCGGTTTTCGAGCGCAGCGAATTCCGGGCAGGAGGGCTCTGCGGAGGATCGCGGCTTCTTTCCAGCTGCATGTCAGGATCTACAAGCGTGCTAAGGTGGTGTCTAAGAGGCTCGGTGCCATTCGTCCTGGCTTGGATGATGACGAGTGCCGGGTCTTGGGTCACATCATGGACAACTCAACTCAACCAGCCACGTGGGCCAAGGGTTTCATGGCAATCTGGTCGAACCCGAGGGCTGCTTTCCGCCACACTTAGAGGATCAGGATGGGTATGGAGGGAGCAACCCCCCTAGGCCCATAAGTTACAGTTACGACTGCCGATGTAGTGTTGCACTTATAGTGTATCTTTGCATTAAAAAAAAAAAAAAAAAAAAAAAAAAAAAAAACGAGTGCCCTCAGTGGTAAGCAACCACCTGATCAGCGTAGAAGTCACCTCATACTTCTTCGCCAGGGGGAACACTGTGGTGTAGCGGGAGTAGTCGTCAACGACCACCAAAAAGAAACGCTCGTGCTCAGGGCCAAGGCGAGGGGCGGGACCCCAGACGTCCAAGTGGAGCGTCAAAAGGCTCGGTGGCCGGACGAAGGGAGGAGGAGTGAGGGGTGGCGCACAGCCGACCCTCGACGCAGGGACCGCACGGCGGTGCAAGCGAAGGCGGCAGCGACGGCAAGACACACGGGAGGCCTAAGACAAGACGCTGACGAGACATAGCGCGCAGACGAGGGAGGGATGGGTGCCCCGTCCGGTAGTGCCACAGAACGGTGGGGTGTGCAAATGACGCAGCAACTGGACCAGACACGGGAACCTGACCAGACACAGCTACCTGGGGGGACGCAGCAACCTGGTGAGACGCAAGGACCAGACTGGGTGAAGTAACCGGGGCCGGGGGCAGGAGTCGCTGCTGCTGCTGCTACTGCTGCTGCTGCCCACCAGGGCCAATGTGAAGTGTGTAGAGACCAGAGCCCGGCTCGGCAGTAAAGTTGGCAAGAGGCGAGTAAGTGTCGCCGTCAACACAAACCGCCGTCTCACCAGAGGGCTCAATCCACACACCCACGTGCTGACTCACAAGAGGCCTCACGCCCACCAAGTTCCTTTAGAACGAGGGGACGTGGAAGCCAGTCAGAGACCCAGAGGGAACAGCAGTAGTGTAGCGAGCAGTGACTGGTCCCGAGGTGGGATCAGCCAGAGCCGCAGAGACTGGCGCAGGAAGTGGAGTAAGTGTCGTGTGGTCGCGGAAGAAGCAGTGCGAAGCCCCGGAGTCCAGAGTGAAAGACATCGAAGCGTCCTCCGAAGTAGCGCCTGGACTAGTGTCTACACAAGTGCCTACACTAGCAACAGGCAACTCAGCAAGACTAGCACCTAAGCTAACAACACACGAGTAAACAGGGTCAGAAGCACTAGAAACAACAACCGCATACATAGCATGAGGAGTTCCTAAGAGATCAAGCAACTGAGAAGCAGACATGCCCCAAAGAGCGGAGCCGTACGTCTGAACAAGAGGTAACCAGTCAGGGGCAGGGCCGCCGACGCCGAAGGCCAAGCGAACCGTGTCAGTGAGCTGAGCAAAGCACTGACCAGGAGGGTGGGTGCGACCACAAGGCTGGCCTCGGCGAGCACTTGTCAGAACCTGATAGGTGCACGAAGGGTGAACAGCACCTCGCTGGGGCAGACGTTGTCCCAGCCTTGAAACCTGCTGCTGCCGCTGCTGCTGCGGGGGCTGCTGCAAGGGGAGGGGCTGCTGCTGCTGCACCTGCTACTGCTGCTGGGCCAGATACCACGCCGCTGCTCCACCCACCACGGCCGACAGACCAGGAGGAAGTTGACGAGTCCGGATGTCGCCTCCACCAGCTGCAGTAGGGGAGTCACTGGCCGCTGCACGAGACGCCTCTCCAGGCCCTGCGCTCCCGCCGCCACCGGTCGACACGCCACCACCACCACCTCCGCCGCCAACGCCGCCACCGCCGCCGCCGCCGCCTGCACCCCGACCGCCCCTCCTGCCACCCCTATCTCGAGACCGGGACGTAGTCGTAACTGCAGTTGCGGTCACGTCAGTAGTGGCAATGGTTAGCGAGGCAGTAAAAGTGGGCAGCTGAGGGACAGTGCACCCGTGAAACAGTGGAGGGGGCATAGCACCAGAGGCGGAGGCTATTGAGCGGAAGTTGCTCTCGACGTCCTTGAGCGCAGACTCAAGGACCTCGATAGTGAGCTCACTAGGGTGCTTCAGAAGAAGCGTGTCACGAACCGAGGCAAGGCGGTCAGGGAGGCTAGTGGCAATGAAGTAGACAGTAATCGCCATGGGAGGGGGAAGCAGTGCAAGCTGTGCGTCAGTGCAAGCAGCGCGATAGCTAGAATCGAGCGAGCGGAGGTGAGCAATTTAGTCAGCAGAGCGCTCAAACGAGGCGAGGTCAGGGAACAAGAACGGCAGGAAGAGGCGGCCAAGGGAGACAGTGGTGGGAGTAGCGTAGCGGGCCTTGATCGTAGTCAGGAACTCACTAGCAGTGCGAAACTGAGTGAAGTGGGCCTCCTTAGACTCACGGAGGAGGCTGCTAAGAGCGATGCAGGCCGCAGCGTCACGCGACTTCCACGCCGTCAGGTCAGCACGCTGGCGGGTAAAGCGGTCTCTGGCGGCGACGTCAGGGGCAAGGCCTTAAGGCGTAGGGTCGTCGGGCGCAGGAAGGTCACCAGTAGCGTGCGCCCAGAGGGACTCGCCCGCCTGGACCTGACTCTCTAAAAGGCGACGCGCGCGTAGGAGTCAGACCGGAAACTCGAGCGGTCTACCGTCAACGTCAAAACGAAGAACCCTAGGGGTCGCCATAGCAAAAGCAAAGAGGTGGGAAGTGCTGCTACTGAAACCCTAATCACTGAGAGCGACTCAGTAGGGCGCTACGGGACATAGGGTAGGGCGCAACACTACTGGACTAGGAGGGCGCAGCGCCACGGGCAGGGGAAGCGCGATGCGACGCAGCGGGACAGGACGGGCAGCGCGACACGACGCGACGCGACGGGACGGGACGGGACGGACTGCGCGACGCGGACGAGCAGCTCGACGCGACGCGAAGGGACGGGACGGACGGGCAGGGCGACGCGGACGGACGGGACGGGACGGGATGGGACGGACGGACGGGACGGGACGGGACGGCCAGGACGGGACGGGACGGGACGGGACGGGACGGACGGACGAGACGGACGGACGGGACGGGACGGGACGGACGGCGCGACGCGGACGGGCGGGACGGGACTGAAGGCGCGACGCGGACGGGCAGCGTGACGCGGACGGACGGGACGGGACGGACGGCACGACGCACACGGACAGCGCAGCGGGCGCTAGGGCACTGGAGCGACGTAACGGCAGGCGCAGCGGGCGCTAGGGCACGAGAGCGACGTAACGGCAGGCGCAGCGGGCGCGAGGGCACGAGAGCGACGTAACGGCAGGCGCAGCGGGCGCGAGGGCACGAGAGCGACGTAACGGCAGGCGCGATGGGCGCTAGGGGACAGTACGAGCGTAACGGACACTAGGGTACGGGACAGGCTCGGGCGCTACGGACCAGGCCTCACGTTTTCAGAGTAAATTACTCTGTTTCTCTGAAAATCAGAGTCATTTTTGAAAGTAACTCTGTACCCGCTGGGTAATTGTTTTGGGACTTCCGATTTCTCTGATTTGCCAGAGTTATGCTGTAGTTTACTCTGAGGCCTCTAGGTTTTTTTTTCGGGGACCAAATTTACTCTGTATAGGGAATACCTGCTAGCCCCCCCTCCCCCGCCCCCCTCCCCTCCCCTCCTCCCCCTGCGTTTAGCGGGTTTTCCCCGAATCGTCGAGATCATTCTCCTGATTTCTGTCGTGTGTTGGCGGCAATATGAGCACTGATTGGCTACCGTAGTTTGACAACTTTCCCAACCAGCGCACGATGCCAGCCAGTCCCCTCTCTCTTTATGTCTGAAGTGAACGTCGACGTTTCCCGACAAAACTTTGAGGGACGTCGAGGAATCCTGACGGTCGGAACGCTCAATCTGAGGGTTGAGATTCGCCAGCATTCCCCGACGAAACTGTACATCCGTCGACATTTCACTTCAGACACGCTCTTTGGGGGTGTCCGAAGTGAAACGTCGACATCCGTGGACATCCGTTTGGGGATGTCGGTAAATCCTGACGGTTGGAACTGTCGATCCGAGGGATGACATTCACCGACATCCAGCGACATCTATTGACGTTTCACTTCGGACACGCCCTTAGTCAGATTATCGGTGCCGCCAACACCTCACTCTGAAACATCGCAGTGAGGGGGGAAACGTGGGCGACGCGGAAATGCAAGTACAAAAGGCGTAACAAAAACCTATTGAGGTCATGGTACACCAAACTTAACTAACATCAGAGTAGAGAAAAATATTACTCTGACGTGCCTGGGTTTTTGTTTTAAAGTATAGGGTTACTCTGACAAATCAGAGTAAGGCGCAAGAACAACCCTAGATTTCAGAGTTGGGAAAAAAACTACTCTGGAAATCAGAGTACCTAAAATCCAAAAATAGGCCCTGCTACGGACGTGAACGAGAGGAAAGGGATCCCACAGGATCCTAACCTAGGTGATACCATGTCAAGAATGAAAGTGTTGGTTCATTGAAGTGGGTTGGGGAACATATAACAAACCCTAACATCTGTACCCCTTAAGACATACCTCACTACAGGCTAAAACATTTGACAATGTGGACTCGGGCTTTAAGCATCTCCGTTCACGATTTCGAATCCAAGTCAAGTGTGTCTTCTTTCACACATCCCACTGTAACACGCAAGGCCAGGCACTACCGTATAACTGGTATGGGAAACGGAACTTGTGCACTCCGCGTGGCGAGTATCCTGTATGTAGATACCATGCTTTCTGCATTGTACGGTACTATGCAGGTGCTGCTTGCTTGCAGAAAGGTTGAAGCTGCATCAGCTGCTGTTGAAGTCAAAATACCGTATTCGCGTTTGTCCTTGACGTGTACATCTATCAATAGCTTTTGCACCTGCTAATGATCAATTTTCTTCTGCAATATGTTAACAGCAGTGCTTCTCTGCAGAAACATGCCATTCTTATCATTCCTACCGCTTTTTCCAGACTCTGATACAGGTGTTCTGCAACCAGAGCTGATCACCTACACATAAATGTAGAGGCTGCTACGAACTTTTTATTCAGAAAATGCTCTAGGCTGCTAAAAGAAAAGAGGACGAAATAAATGAAGAATAAAAATTGCTATCCGTGTCGCATATGTTGTGGCTCTCTACCCTCACTCACGCCCACAAAACACAACCGTTTCTTTCCTGTCCCCATGCCCATCCCCCCATCCCCCCATGCCCCTCCCATCCACCCTTCTCCTATAAATGAGTGTCAAGAAGCCATGCGGAACAATGGCTTCACGCTGTCAGTGGCAGGGTAATGCCACAGCGACATGCCTTGGAACTTCACTGCAAACAGCACTCGGCTGCACGCCTCCATCCCCGCCACCTCCTCCCTCTCCCTCCGCTTCCCATTTTCCTGCTCCTGCTCCCCTTGTCCCTCCTCCGCCTCGCCGCCCTCCCCGTCCCCATCCTCTCCGTGCATGGCCTTGGTTCGAAAGCCTGCCTTGGCTGCGCTTCGCACGCCATGCGGTGCGGGATTCTTGTTCCGTGACTCGTGCTGGATGTCAATAGACTCTATGCGCACGCGTGCGCTGTCCATGTTGCGACAGAACGCCTCCACCTCTGCGTGGTAGGGAAGGGAGGGGGCAGAAAGGGAGCGGATGCAAGGTGATGCGACGGGAGGGAGAACAGTTGAGAGGGGTAGGGAGGCAAAGAGAAAGGCGATGAAGATCAGGGTACCGCGACCAAAAAAGGCTCAGGTGCAAGTCAATCAGTTCATGCATGATGAACTGGTTCAGGGTTTAAGCCTCGAGATAAAATGTCTCAAGATGTAAGGAACTGACCTTTCCAGTTGAGGCAGTCTGCAGGGGAGCCGATCGGCATTGCATCGCAAGAAGTGTGCTGGCAGTCTGGACCGCGACAGACAGGGTAGAGGCCATGGTGGGTGTGGTTGCCAAAATTGGCATTGTCGGCGTGGTGGGTGTGGGGAGCACGGGGGGAGTGGGGCGCAAGGGGTGGCAGAGTTCCGATGTGCTGGGGCTGCAGCAGCAGCTGCCGAGGGAACTCCTGCTCGTGCTCCGGGGCCAATAGGCCTGCAACAGTGAGGGGGGACACAAGGGAAAGCACAAGGGACGAGAGGGATGAGAAGGGGACGAAAAATGAAAGGCCATTCAGCACACCTTTCCTCTCAATCTTACAGCAATTAACACTCCGCTTTCCCCATCTCATGCCTCCCATCGCTCAGACTCCCCCCCAATCCATGCCCTCGACCAATGTACCCCTGTTCTCCCGTTCTCCTCCTCTCTCCTCTCCCACACACACGTACCTTCTACTGGAACGGAAGGGAGCCTCCTTGACGCCGGCAGAGACATGGTTCTGCGACTATTCCCATAGTTCGCTTCCTCACTACCCTCCTCCGTACCCCATCCTGCACTGCTACCACTGCTGCTGCTGTAGGTGTTTTCCCCTTCCGCCTCCCCCCCCTCCGCCACTTCCGCGCTCCCTCCGCTTCCCCACATGGGTCCCCCTTTGCCACCACGCCCATGCCCGCGCATACCATCGTCGTCACTGCAACTCCTCCGCATACCGCGCGCGCCCACTCCTGCAACCGCTGATCCCGTTGGTACCACACCTGTAACCGCTTCCGCGATTCCCACAAGCTCGCTTCCCCCCGCTCCCCCGCCCCATTCCGCCACCTGCCCTGTTGTTGACGACCGCACCATCCCCCTTCCGCCCATCCCCCCCGCCACCGCCCCCCACTCCGCACCCCCACGTTCCGCCTTCTTCCCCCCCGCGCGAGCAGCAGCGATGGAGGCAGCGGCCGCGGCGGCGGCGGAAATTGCGGACCCCTCGTCGCTCCGCCTCCTGATGCTGCTGCTACAGCTGCCGATGCTGCCGCGGCTGCCGTTGCTGCTGCCGCCCCACACGCTGCTGTTGCTGCTGCCGCTGCCGCTGCTGTGCGCCACGATGAAGCCTTCCGGAACATGCGCCAGCCCATGCACTGCGTGCGCCGCCGCCGCCGCCATCGCTGCGCCGGCGGCTGATTCGTCTGCTTCTGCTTCTCGCATGTGCTTATTCCCAATGCAGCTTTCATCCGCGTTGCTGCTCGCGCCATGGCCGTTACCTTGCCCCTGCGCCCATCCCCATGCGCCGAATCTGCTGCTGCTGCTGACGTCACACGGCAGCACAGTGGCGACGCTCACGGCCTCCACATCATCAGGGCAAGGCGGCGCGCGGGACGGCGCGTGAGAGCCCTCACGCGGCGCGGACAGGTGGGGGAGCAGCCGGCGGGATTGGAGGGGGGTGGAGGCGGGGGAGGGGGTTGTGGCCGTGGGCGTGGGCGGAAGGGAGGAGCCCCCGGGGAAGGCGGAGGCGATAGGCGTGGTGAGGTGCGGAAGGCGGAACGGGGACTGTGCGGAGGGGCGGCGCGCAAAGGGAGGGGCGGAAATGGAAGGGGCACGAAGGAGTTGCGGGAGGTAAATGCACATGTGAGAACGGGGTAAAGGAAAGTAGAGGGGACGTAACAAACAGATTGCAACTATATTCGGTACTTGTCCCACGAGTCACCCTTCACACCGCCCCACCCACCCCCCTCCCCTTCTTCCCACCCATCGAGCTTCCACATTCCCGCGCCCCTTGCGGAGCCACATCCCGCGACTCACTTGGTAGCTCGGGGAGGCCAGTGCGGTGGCGGCGGAGAGCGAGGGCGCAAGCGCGGCGGAGGGGCCGCCGGATGGACTCTCGTGCGCGGACAGGCGCGCGCAGGGCGGGCAGGCTGGCGCGGGGGGAGGAGAGATGGCGAGGGGAGGGGGAGGGGAGAGGAAGGGGGAAGGGAAGATAGGCTGGGGATGAGTCAGAGGCCACGGGGTGTGAAAGAGAAAGATGAGGAGCGTGGCTTGTCTCGGAGACAGCGAATGGAAAAGACGAGCATGGTAGCGGCACACGCAGCAGCAGCAGCAGCAGCAGCAGCTGAGGGCTCACCTGGGTTGAACGCCGCGTTTGCTGGGCCGTGGCTAATACCAGCGGCGGCTTTCACCTTGAACCACGCCAAGAGCTCCTGCACACACACGGACAGGACGAGCAGAAAGAAACACATGGAAGAGTGAGAGACCAGGAGAGAGACAGAGAAAGACTGTTTGAGAGAGGAAACGAGAAAGAGGAAGAGGACTGTGCACATACCACGGGGCGGGCGGCGGCGGCGGCGGCGGCGGCGGAGGTGACGGAGGGGGAGCAGGGGACGGAGATCCCGCACCAGTCGGCGGAAACAGACACGAGGTAGAGCACGGTGGCGGAAGCGGGTTCATGCGCGGAGAGGTCGGTCGCGTCGTCGTCGAGGGGGAGCGAGAGGGGGAGCGCGAACGAGTCGTTTCCAGCCATGCGCCCCGATGGAAGCGCATTACTCGGCAAAGGTATCTCGATGGTATCTGGGACCGGAAAGCGGGTGGAGGGACAAAATGAGGCGTGAAATGGGGAGGCAGACAAGTGTAACCCGCTATGAGCAAGACGAAGTGAAGTAAGCAACGAGAAAACGAGACGGCGGGAGTACGAGAAGGGAGTGGGTTGGGGTGGACGGGAGGAGAAGAGAGGGGAGAAGAAGGGAGAAGAAAGGGGGAGGAGAAGAGAGGGGGACGGAAAGCGGCGCGGAGCGAGCGGCTTACAGCACTTGGAGGAGCCCGGATCAAGCGGCGCGTGGATGGCGAGGCGGAGTGGACGAGCCACGAGGCACGGCTGGTCGCCTGTAAGCACCACGAGGCACGGAATGGAACGGAGGCACGGAATGGAGCGGAGGCACGGAATGGAGCGGAGGCACGGAACGGAGTGAGGAGGGACACAAGCAGATCATGAGGTCGTCAAAACATTTGTGGTCGTCGAAACTCCTTCAAGCTTGTTGTGGTGCGAGCAGAACGGCGCAGGTCCCGGCGATTGCATCATCCTTCCAGCGGCCCTTGATTCAAGAAAACAGCCTGTGATCGCTCGGTTTTAACGACTCCGACGGGAATAGGAGTCCGCTGTTTCGGGAGGCTGTGACGAGCTCACATTTTTTTTCTTGTAAAAACCGAGAGAGAGCGAGGGCCTGTTGCGACAGAATCACGAAGCGATTCCTCCTTACCGGCGCAAGACCATGTTGTATCCGCACGTGGCGCCGACGCGGATCGAATGACACCCTTCACTTCAACGCTCAGGCTCTCCAGCTGAACCGATCCGTCAGCGCCATAGTCTCCGCGCTGATACTGCTGCTGCTGCTGCTGCTGCTGACTGTAATCTCTCTGGCGACCACCCGCGTAATGCGCGGATCGGTTCTCAATGTGCACTGTAAGAATGACGCCTTCGCCGGCCGTGTAAGACGGCTGGTTCAGCCTCACTCGCACCGATGGTGGTCGAGGACGCGGGGCCGAAAGGTTTACGCTGTCTATGGAATCCATTTCAGTGGCTAGGTTCCCGTCCCACGTTACTGACTAATCCTTGCGGGGGAGGGGGGTGGGGGAACGGAAGAAGAGGCACGAAGCGACTCGGAAGACGCCGCTATGCCGCGGATCTTAGCAACTTGAAGCTGGGGTTCAGTGAATGCAGAGCAACGTCTTCGTTTGCTTGCACTACTCCACGCACACGTACCACACCCTGACTGTATGTTGTCCCACGTTTTGCGAGACCTGAATCGCACAAGCTCACGTGCTGTGACTGTCAGGCTTCGCTGCCAAAGTTTTGGTCCTCTGCAATGCTGCTGCAGGGAAGGAAATGGGATGCCAAGCTCAGTTGCTGTCAGCTTGAACAACAAGGCAAGTGCCAGGTTGTGTTGGTTTGGATCGGGTGCTGTTGCGGTGTCCGCTTGAGGAGCAAAACCACCGCTACACGTTCTTCTGGGCTCAGGACTGAGCAGCGAGGAGAGGATTATCTCGAAGAATGCAAATTACCCTTGGCTCGGAGGTACGTGTATCGCGGAACCTCGAGGAAGGATGAGCTGGCCAGATCGACGAGGTTGCAGTGCTGTGACTTTGTGCTGTGCTGAGCTGTTGGTGTTACGTTTCAGTGTTCGACTTTTGCTGTTTGTTTTCTGCTTGCTGCTGACCGAGGCCGCCTTGGGAACTTCGAGAAAAGAGCCGGAGGAACAGAATGGAAGGAAGTGGAAGGTTTGGTGGTAGAGGGAATCATGGATGGATATCATACAGCAGGGCAGCAGTCCCTCTGTTTGGCCGTGTGACGACAATTTTCTAATCAAGCCGCTCGAAATGGAATCGAACGGACGGAGCGCCACGCGCTTTTGATCGGACCGCCACAGTGCAATGACCTGGAGGAATAAAAAGGCGCAGCGCGGAACAAGAGGATGAGGTGGAACGACAAGATATCCCTGATGTTGACTTGCAGTGGGCCAAGGGCCAGCAGACTCGGCGGGAAAGTAGGGCACTTTTGGGACCACATAAGCCACAGATTCCAGCTTTTCTGGCGGCTAGGCACGGGATTGGCAGGGAGAAAAGGTGGAACCTGGCAGTAGCTTTCCACGGCTGTGCCACACATCATGACGTGGACGGTGAGTTTAGAGCGTGTCTGAAGTGAACATCGACATTCCTCGACGAAACTTTGAGGGATGTCGAGGAATCCTGACGGTTGGAATGCTCGATCCGAGGGTTGCAACTCACCGACATTCCTCGACGAAACTGTACATCGTCGATGTTTCACTTCAGACACGCCCTTAGCTCAAAGAGATCCTGCATGCAAGTGATTGAAACCTCATCCTGGCCCACCGCCACACTCCTGCTTGTGTACTCTTGTCAGAAATGCTGACTCGGATGGAGGACAAAGGCAAAACTGTCTGGTATAGACCAGCAGCAGTGATAATATCTGATCCTGCCACAATCAGCGTCAACTGTTGCTGCAAGCCAGATCACAGTGCACCGCTGGAGACTAGGAACCGTTGTCATTGGGCTTTCAGTCACCGTACTGCAGCATTGCCGTGGAGGCGGAAACATGGTGGCGATATTCCAGATAACCTACGATATTGAGCGAAATCAACACCCGTCTGCAACACAAACCTGCACGTATATCATTACGTACATCGGGTGTGGATAATGATATACGTAACTTGTATAATGAGCTCAATAGTGCAATCTGTTAAGGGGGGATTTACTGTACTTTCCAATTCACCCCGTTCCTTATCTTCTCGGATTCTCTAGTGCCATGTGGCACTCTACTTTTCTAGCTTCACAATTCCTAGTCCCACAATCTACTTTCCAACCTTGTTTCTTGCATGCTACTTAAACCTTGCTTGTACTTAGCATTATCAACCAATTCTCATTCAAGTCTTCTTCAATTACTCAGTAACTTTTTCGCCTATTTCGCCAATAGTTCTTTCGCCTAAGTCTTCCGCCGCGTTTCATCCTCGACTTAGTCGACCCCGCTAATTCTTTAGCGGATTTAGGCCGTCGAGCCTAACACTTGGTATCAGAGCCTTCGCGGGGAGCAACTTCCAACGAGCGACCGTCGACGACGAGACTACGACGTCATCGTCCTGCGGTGCCGACTTGCAGACTTGGAGTCGTCGAGCGGACATGGACGAAACCATGCACGCTCTCCCCCACGACATGGGCAATACGCTTGCCGAACTCATGCGCCAACTTCAAGAGTTGACGTTGGAAAATCGTCAGGTACGAGCTGAAATGCAACAGCTTCGTGAATTAGCTTCTAACCCCCATGGTCATGCCGCACCAACTCTTGCGCCTAACACGTCGACTGGCGCGGAAGCGCTGCCGGAACGTCGAAGCGCGCTTAAGCCGCAGAAACCCGAGTCGTTCAACCCAAGTCAACGCGACGTGAACGTGCGGACGTGGCTCTTCATGCTCAACAATTACTTCGCCGCGAACGGGGTGCAAGAGGCGGACGCGCAGCATCGGATCGAGTACGCTGTTACGCTGCTGAGGGGCCCGGCCTTGGAGTGGTGGCGCCAACTTACGTAGACTGCTGTTAGAAGGGCTAAGACGGATGGGCATCAACAGGGCGTGGGGCATGCAGCTGCAACTTCGAGCTTAGGGAGTTTAGCTTTGGGTGTTACCACGGTTCCGACCACATGGGAAGAATTTGAAGCGGCGCTGAAAAGTAGGTTCGATTTGGTGAACGCCTCCGAAGCTGCTAGGAAGCGTCTGCGTCATTGCCGACGCATAGGAAACGTCCAGGAGTACACACGACGGTTCTTGAGCATCTGCAACGAGATAGACGATATCACGGAAGCAGAGATGCGCGATCGCTACCTCGAGGGGTTGAAGCCGGACATAGCAGAAGTTATAGCGATTCATGGGTTGTCCAACTTCGAGTCAGTTGTCGTAGCAGCAGAACGCGTTGACGCAGTACGAAGCCGACGAGGTCGTGACGATCGCGATAGGGGATACAACAGACCGATCAACGACGCTCGATCGAGGGACGGACCATCGCCCATGGAGATTGGTGCAGTTAACAGTGACGGCTCACAGAAAACGGGATTTAGGGGGAACTGTCACTACTGCTAAAAACCGGGACACATGAAGCGGGACTGCCCACAGCTTAAGGAGCGGCAGCAGGGAAACGGAAACCGCCAGTAGATAGCGGGTCGCTAGCTGGTGTGGAAGTTCCCGTACCCGCCACGTCTACCAACGTAGAGGAGACGGCCTTAGAGCAGTCACCTACACCGAACACGGTAGACGCTGTTGATCGTACAGTCGTGCTTCTAGGGAAGCTTCGCGGAGTTCCTGTTAAGATTCTCGTATATAGCGGAGCTAGCCACTCGTTCGTCTCTTCTTCATTTGTCAGTCGTCTCCATCTCGAAGAAGATTCGGCAGTAAACTTCAAGGACACGCGTATGGTAGATGGGACGCCACTTCACATAGGACCAGTCATTCGCAAGTTGCGCGTAGTGCTAGGACCGATCACAGTTAGGCGTGATTTCGACTCTGCGACGCTGGACGGATACGACTTCGTCTTCAGTAGGGATTGGGTACGGACGGTTAGTACACAGTTCGATTGGGCTCAGGGAAGCTGCAGCGTCAAGGTAGACGGAGAGTTCCGGGAGCTGCCACAGTGGAGTGATGGGGCCACATCCTCCACAGCCATCATCAATGTTGTTCGTGTGCGACAGCTGGTGAAGCGAGCGGCACGGATCTTTGCGGTTTTCCTTGAGGAGGTGGAAGCTGAGGAGGGGAAAGGAGGGAGTGCAGCAGTTGGTGAGAAGACGACTCTTCTTGCTGAGGTGAGTGCACTGTTAGCAGAGTTCGCAGACGTCTTCCCCGACGAATTGCCCCCAGGGTTACCTCCCAGCCGAGCAGTAGATCATCGAATAGAGTTGGAGCCGGGGAGCAGGCTAGTAGAAAAGCCACAGTGGAAGTTGAGTCCAGCGGAGACAGAGGAGATGACGCAGCAAGTTAGGCATTTTCTCGCACAGGGTTTCATACAGCCATCTAGATCGCCTTGGGCAGCATCGATCCTTTTCGCGCCTAAGAAAGACGGAGGGTTACGGATGTGCATAGATTACCGCGCACTGAACGCCGCCACCGTCAAGAATCGATTCCCGGTGCCGAGAGTAGAGGATCTTCTCGATGCAGTGCAGGGCGCTAGGATCTTCTCCAAGATCGATCTTCGCTCAGGGTATCATCAGATTTGAGTAGTTACAGAGGAATAGCACAAGACGGCGTTTCATACGAAGCAGGGGCTGTACGAGTTTAGAGTTCTACCGTTCGGTTTGACCAACGCCCCAGCGACGTTTCAGACGTTCATGAACACCGTCCTCTCCGAGTTCTTAGGTTCGTTCGTTGTAGTTTACCTAGACGACATTCTCATATTCTCCAAGACGAAAGAGGAGCACGTGCAACACTTGCAGAAGGTCTTCGAGGTTTTACGGAAGGAGCAGCTGTACGCTAAGCAGTCGAAGTGCGAATTCTTTCTCCCCGAGGTTGAGTTCCTAGGACACGTCATATCCGCTAGTGGCATTAGGACCGATCCGAAGAAGATCTCAGCAATACAAGATTGGGTAGCACCAACCTCAGTAAAGGAGTTGCAGAGCTTCCTTGGTTTCGCGAACTACTACCGTCGTTTCGTTCAGGGTTACGCAACGATCGCTAGTCCACTCACCGACCTACTTCGGAAGGTCGTAGAGTACGTTTGGGGTCCAGCGCAGCAGCAGGCGTTCAAGCAGATGAAGGAGTCGCTCACGAATTTACCGACACTGTCGTACCCTGATCCCACTCGCCCATACGTTGTAGTGACCGACGCTTCAGCTCGGGCCATAGGAGCAGTGCTTCTTCAGAACCAGGGACGCGGGTTGCAGCCGATCGCGTACGAGTCGCGTAAGCTTAGGGTAGCGGAGTTGACCTATCCCATACACGACAAGGAGGCGCTCGCGATCATCCATGCGTATAAGGTGTGGAGGTGCTACCTAGAGGGGGCAGATAGTGTTATACGCACGGACCATTGCTCGCTTTGCTTTCTCAAGTCGCATCCGCAGCTGAGTCGTCGCCAGGCTGGATGGATGGAGTTCATGGAGGGGAGTTTCCATTACAGGATTGAGTACAAGCCAGGCGTTCGCAACCCAACAAATCCGCTCACTCGCCCTAGTTTCCAGCTCGCCAGCCTCACAGTCACTGCCGGCCATCCACTTCTCACAGCACTCTTCGAGCATGGTTACACAGTAGATCCCAACTTCACACCGCAGCCGCCTGCAGGAGCATAGGTGCAGGGTAGTGTCTACATTCGGAAGGGTACCACACGGATTTGGGTTCTAGCCTACCGCCCTCTTCGACAGCTCCTTCTCTCAGAGGCGCACGACGTAGTTAGTGCAGGGCACTTTGGAGCAGATAAGACTGTTAAGACGCTTAGTCGCACGTACTACTAGCCAGGGCTTTCAGCAGACGTAGAGGATTACATTCGCTCATGCGACACGTGTCAGCATACGAAGTCCTCTTGCCAGCGCAAAGCAGGACTCTTGCAGCCGATTCCACCGCCCGACCGCCCTTGGCAGGTAGTTACCATGGACTTTATCATGGCTTTACCGCGCACAGTTAGGGGTCACGACGCCATCTTCGTGGTAGTGGATAAGTTCTCTCGAGCAGCGCATTTCATCCCCACGCACGGCAAGGTCACAGCAGAGGAAGCCGCGACGCTGTTCGTAGATAACGTAGTCCGACTGCACGGGGTTCCAGATTCCATCATCTCAGACCGCGACCCTCGTTTCACTTTGAAATTCTGGAAACAGCTTTACGCACTGTTTGGGACTCGCTTAGCCATGTCGTCTGCGTACCATCCAGAGACAGACGGACAGACTGAGCATGTGAACCAGACCTTGGAGCAGATTCTTCGCAGCATCACGATGCACGACGCAGCCGCATGGGACAAGAAGCTGAGCATGGCAGAGTTCGCATACAACAACACGCACCACTCCGCCACAGGCATGTCACCGTTCTTCGCACTGTACGGTCAGCACCCCAATGTCCCCACTCGTGTCGATCTCACACCCACTGTCCCTCGTGCGGACAACTTCCACCAGCATCTCACATTCATCCATGATCACGTGAGGAAGCACCTTGAGCTCGCAAATGCACGCATGGCACGCACCACCAACCGCAGTCGTCGTGAGGTGTCGTTCACAGTCGGCGACCGTGTTCTCTTGGATAGCCGCAACCTTCGACTGCCACAGGACAGCAAGCTTCGTCCACGTTTCATTGGTCCATTCGTCATTGAGCGTGCACTTGGTCAAATCGCATACCGCCTCCGCCTTCCCGCTCATTTCCGCATGCACCCGTCATTCCACTGTCATAACATTATAGCTTATGCTTTTGTGTAGGCTGTAGTGGGGTAGCCTATATGGGGTACAACCCAATTAGGGTTAGTACTTGTACCCAACTCTTTCATAGTGCATTCATTTCTCGTTCAACTTCTCTCATGGTATCGAGCAGGTTCCCCTGTGGGAACTGCGCTTAGGGCCCACTACTTCGATTTTTTTTACTGCCCGAAGCGCGCTCATGTCGAGTCACGCCTCGGGCTGTTAACTCGACGAGCCGCCCTAGCGGCCTTCCCTCCCCTAGCGGCCCTGCCGCCCTACTGTCGCGGCCCCGCCGCCCCTGATTCGCGGCCTCGCCGCCCTGCTTTACCGGCCCCGCCGCCCTGCTTTAGCGGCCCTGCCGCCCTACTGTCGCGGCCCCGCCGCCCCTGATTCGCGGCCTCGCCGCCCTGCTTTACCGGCCCCGCCACCCTGCTTTAGCGGCCCCGCCGCCCTGCTTTAGCGGCCCCTCCGCCCTACACCTAGCGGCCCCGCCGCCCTACACTTCGCGGCCCCGCCGCCCTGCTTTAGCGGCCCCGCCGCCCTACACCTCGCGGCCCCGCCGCCCTGCTTTAGCGGCCCCGCCGCCCTACACCTTCCGGCCTCGCCGCCCTACACCTCGCGGCCCCGCCGCCCTACAACTATCGGCCCCGCCGCCCTACACCTATCGGCCCCGCCGCCCTACACTTCGCGGCCCCGCCGCCCTGCTTTAGCGGCCCCGCCGCCCTACACCTCGCGGCCCCGCCGCCCTGCTTTAGCGGCCCCGCCGCCCTACACCTCGCGGCCCCGCCGCCCTTCTGCTGCGGCCCCGCCGCCTTGCACCTGGGGCCCCGCCGCCCGTCTGCTGCGGCCCTACCACTCTCCTCTCCTGACCGCCACCCGAGCCGCCGACCGCAGCACCACCCTGCAGCGTGCACTCGAGCAGCCGACCGCCGCGCCGCCGAGTACCGGAGGAGCCGGGCCGCCCAGCTGCAGAGCCGCCCGGCCGCCCACCAGCCGAGCCGCCGTTCAGCCGGGCCGCCCAGCAGCCGAGCCGCCCAGCAGCCGAGCGCCAAGCCGCCGAGCCGCCCAGCCGCCGAGCCGCTGTGCAGCCGAGCCGCCCAGCAGCCGAGCGCCGAGCCGCCGAGCTGCTGAGCCGCCCAGCCGCCCAGCAGCCGAGCCGCCCTACTACCGAGCCGCCCGACCTGCCCTGTCCGGTGAACGCAGCCCCACTGTCACTGCGTGCCCTTCCCCTACTGCTTGCACTGCTAGTCTATCGTCGTCATGGCTACCCCTAGTGTCCTCACTTTTGACCCTGAGGGTCGAGCCATTGACTTTGAGGTCTAGGTCGACGACCTGCAATTGTTTTTACAGTGCGATAGGGCGGACGGTCTTTCTCTCTTTGACCTCACCTCTGGCGCCTCTCCTGCCCCTGCTACTGACGCTGACCCCACTGTTCACTCTCAGTGGGCCACCCGCGATGCTGCTGCACGTCTTGCTGTGCGTCGCCACCTGCCTACCACTGAGCGCGCGCACTTTAGTCAGTACAAGAGTGCTCAGACCTTGTACGATGCTGTAGTTGCGCGCTACTCTTCTCTTGCCACTGCTGCACTGAGCCGTCTCATGCTACCGTACCTCTTTCCTGACCTTGCTGCCTTTCCCACAGTCGCCGACCTCATTACGCACCTCCGCACTAGTGACACTCGCTACCGCGCCGCACTTCCTGCTGAGTTTTGCGCCAAGAACCCCCCCCCCCATGTACATCACTCTCTATTACATAGTCACACGCCTCCCTGACTCCCTTCGCGTAGTCAGGGACCACTTTCTCTCAGTCTGTCCCACCACTCTCACTGTTGACCTCCTCGAGAAGGCCCTCCTGGTGGCGGAGAAGAGCATCGTCGCTGTAGGAGCCTCTCGGGGTGATCCTCGCACCCCCATCTTTGAGGGGTGTTCTCCTTCCCCCCTGCTGCCCTCTGTTGCCTCTGCTGCTGCTGCCGACCAGCTTGGTCGGCGCGGCGTCGGCGCGGTGCGGGGTCTGCCCCTAGCGGGAGACGCCGACCTGGCAAGGGCAAGGGGGGCAAGGGCGCGGGTGGAGCTGGCGGGGGCGGTGGAGGTGGCGGTGGAGGCGGCGGAGGGAGTGGGGGTGGCGGTGGGAGTGGTGGCGGGGGTGGTGATGGTGGTGGCGGCAGCGGAGGCGGAGGCGGTGGCGGCGGCAGCGGTTGGAGCGGAGGCGGCGGTGGTGGCGGAGGTGGATGCGGCGGTGGCGGAAGGGATGGAGCTGGTCAGGGTGGTGCCCCGCAGCGGAGCGGCTCTGGTGGTGGTCAGCGCCAGCAGCAGCAGCAGCAGCAGCGTTCTCGGGACATCCCCCCGCCTCAGAAGCTCCGTGAGTGGTACGCGCAGCGTCAGCGTGGTGGGGGTTTTAGTCCGTGCACCTACGTCTTTCGTTCCGGCGACCGCGAGGGTGAGCAGTGTGGGGGTGCCCACCCCACCAAGCGCTGCTTTGGCCGCCTGACGGACGCTTGGCGTCAGCAGTTCCCCGAGGCTAGTGAGATTCCCCGCTGGGGAGAGCTGTCTAGGGCTGGTGTAGCTATCTTTGATCTTGACTTTGATGCTATCCTTGCTGCCATGTATGCTGTGACTATTAGTGATGAGGGTGACTGTTACCGGTGTTTCCCGCCCGACCCGGCCATTGATACTGCTGCGCTAGGTGCTTGTGAGGCTGCTGCTCTAGGTGCCAGTGCGTCTGCGCTCTCAGGTACTGGTGAGGCTGCGCTCTCAGGTACTGCGTCGGCTTCGGCCGGGAGCGACCTAGCGTGCAAGAATGCTGAGAGGGTATGCAAGGTCTGGTCGAGTGCAGGTCATCAGGTACATGAGGCAACCCACAAGCTCTGGATACGGGCCATTCGGCTCTACGGACTCATCCGAAGGCAGAGCTGAGAGCGAGTGACCGGTAGGCAGAGGAGTGGGCTGAGGCGAGGAGTACGTGAAGCGGAAGCGCTGAAGGACCTGCTGCACCATGTGTGACTGAGTCAAGGTGATGGTGCGGCGTGCTCTATCCCGGGTGATCCGCAAGCCAAGATAGCTTGTCAGTTCACCCAGGTCTGTGCACGTGTGTCTCTTCTGCAGCTCCGACTTCACGTGGGCGAGTGCCACAGTGTCAGCAGTAGCAAAGACCAAGTCGTCGACGTACACAAGGACGTAGAACGGCGGCAGTGAGGTGTCGGTGCGTAGAAACAGCGACGGGTCAGCAGTAGAAGGCGCGAACCCAAGAGCCGCAAGCGTAGTCCTCAGTGTGTCGTGCCACTCACGAGGCGCCTGGCGGAGACCGTAGACTGGCCGTCGGAGGCTCCACTGGGTACCAGGAGGGAACGACCCAGTGAAGCCAGGTGGACGACGCAGCCAGATCTCCTCGTGCAGGCTGCCCTGTAGGAAAGCAGTGCTGAAGTCAAGCGAGTGGAGCACGTAGTCACGCTGAGCGGGGACGTGCAGCAGAACCCGAAGAGTGGTCATCTTCAGGGTCGGGGAGAAGGTCTGGAAGAAGTCAACTCCCTCTCGCTGACTGAAGCCTCGTGCAACGTAACGCGCCTTGAAGACAGGCGGAGAGCCCGGCGGCCGCTTCACCCTGAAAATCCACATGCCACTGACGATGTTAGCCCCAGGTGGGGGAACCTCGTCGACGTAGGTGCCTGTGGACTTCCAGGAAGCCATCTCTGTGTCCATGGCTGACTGCCACTGAGAGGAGTAGGGACCGGCCATCGCCTCTGCGTAAGAGCGTGGGGTCGGGATGTCTGGTGCATCCGGGTCTCCCTCAAGGGCAACAAGCATGGACACGAGATGGGGCAAAGCGGCAGCAAAGCACTCAAACTCCTCCTGCCTGTCCTCAAGGACGTCAGTGCCAAGAGCACACTCACCCCCGACGGACGGAGGACAGACAGACTCAGACTCAGCAACTAGGCTAGCAGCGTAGTCTAGACGACAGCGAGCAGCTCACTCGACAAGCTCAGCAACTAAGGCAGACGCAGCAGCAGACTCAAAGGAAGGGTCAGTGACAACAGTAGCCAGGAGACGCGTGACAGTAGGACTGGTAGCACGAAGAGAGTCTGACCCAGGGTCAGCAAGAGCAGGAAGAGAGGAAGCAGGAGGAGAAGGCAGTGGGACACGCTGTGGAGCAGTGGACGGACGAAGCGCCATCCGGTGAGTGCCTGGGACAGCAGGAAGACGCTGACGCTGGACTCGACTACTAGAAAGAGCAGTGCGGACTGGCGACTCAGGACGAGACTCAGGCGACGCAGGACGAGACGCAGGCTCACGCCGCTCAGTAAGACCTCCAGCCGGACCAGTGTAAGGAGCAGGACCAGGGAGAAAGGAGGTAGACGGTAACGCCGACTGCAGCTGGACAGGCGGAGGACACGCTAAGGAGGGAGGAGGAAAAGGAGGAGGAAGCTGACCAAGAACGTGCTGAAGGAGCGGAACAAAGTACGGCCGAGACCGAGCAGGGACACCAGAGCCAGCAGGGACACCCGCACCAGGATCCGCAGCACCAGCAGCAGCTCCAGCGCCCACGTCCTCAGCACCAGCGGCAGCTCCAACGCCCGGGTCCTCAGCACCAGTAGCAGCTCCAACGCCTGGGTCCTCAACACCAGCAGCAGCTCCAACGCCCGGGTCCTCAGCACCAGCAGTGGCTCCAACGCCCGGGTCCTCAGCACCAGCAGCAGCTCCAACGCCCGGGTCCTCAGCACCAGCGGCAGCTCCAACGCCTGGGTCCTCATCACCAACAGCAGCTCCAACGCCCGGGTCCTCAGTACCAGCAGTAGCTCCAACGCCCGGGTCCTCAGCACCAGCAGCAGCTCCAACAGAAGCGGGGTCCGTAGCACGAGGCACGCCACTCCGAAGAGTGCAGCGCCGCTCGTACCACTCACGGATCTGCTCGCGGGAGGGGAGCTCCCGAACGGGAGAAGAAGCACTAGCACCAGTCCCAGTAGTACGTCCGGCTCGAGCGGTACCTCTCCGGAGGCTGCAGTACTCTAAGTACCACGCACGTAGCTGCTCCGAGGAGAGGGCTCCTCCAGGTGCAGGACTCCCAGGCCTAGTACCTCTAGACTCAGAACCCCCAGACTCCGGACTCCGCAGCTCAGCACCACGAGGCTCCACACCCCCAAGCTCAGCACCCTCAAGCTCCACACCCCCAGGCTCCACACCCCCAGGCTCCACACCCCCAGGCTCCACACCCCCAGGCTCCACACCCCCAGGCTCAGCACCCCCAGGCTCAGCACCCCCAGCAGGACGAGAGTTGACAGCTACCTCAACAGGCTCAACCGGGTCTACCTGAGACACACCTGAGGGAGCGGCACCCTGAGGGGGGAGGGGGTCTGCAACAGCAGCACCTGGCGCGAGGAAGAGAGGCGGGGGGGGGAGCGGGGCAGTGCGGTAGGGGAAGAGGCGGTAGTAGGGGACGGACTCGTCAAAAGTGACGTCCTGGGAGGGCAAGACTCGGCGCGAGGTGGCGTGGTAAAACTGCCAACCAGACGCGTCCGGGACAAAGCCTAGGAAGACGCAGGGAACAGCACGGGAGGAGAGCTTGTCCATAGACGAATCGCAGACAAAAGCTCGAGACCCCCAGACCCGGAAACGCGACGCATCGCCAACCTCCCCCGTCCACAGCAGCGTGGGCGAGGTCTCCGGCAAGGAGACACGGGGCCATAGGTTGAGTTGATGCGCAGCGTACCGGGCCGCAAACGGCCACAGAAAGTGGGGGGCAGCCGCATGGATCAAGGAGGTACGGGCGACCTCCATGACCAGGCCAATGCGGCGCTCCGCAACCCCATTCTGCTGTGGAGAAGCCGGAAGCGTGAACGACTGCTCAATGCCGTGCTCAGCACAGTAGGCTGCCAAGAGGTCGGAGGAGAACTCACCACCTCTGTCAGAGTGCAAGCGCAAGACAGGAAAGTCCGAGTGAAAACGCTCGCTGAGCTGGAGACGGGCTCTGCGGATCCAAGGGATCAAGACATCAGGGACCTCACCCTTGGTGCGCAAGGGGAAGACCGAGGTGTAGCGCGAGTAGTCGTCAACAACTATCAGGAAGTACCTCTCCTGACCCTGACCACGGACGCGGGCTGGGCCCCACACGTCCATGTGGAGTGTCTGCAAGGGAGCAGTCGTCGGGGGGAACGAGGAGGAGTGAGGAGCGGCGCGCTGCCGTCCCTCGACACAGGGGAGACAGGTAGGAGCAGGCGAGGGTGGGAGGGGAGGAAGGACCCTGGACAGGCCAGAGACAAGGTATCGGGAGTGCATGGCACGAAGGCGCTGCACAGACGGGTGGCCAAGGCGGTGGTGCCAGAAGACAGTCTCGTGTGCCAAAGAGCGACACGAGCAGGGGGCGGACAGCTGACCTGACGCGGACGCGGACGCAGTCGCAGCAACCTGAGGGGACTCAGTAGTCAGTGTGTACAGGTCCGACCCCGGTTGCCGAGTGAAGGTAGCCAAGTGACGGCCCGTACGAGCACACGTGCAGTGTGTCACGCGCTCGTAGGCAGGGGTGAACTGGTGAACACCCCCGTCCTGGAGTGCACATCCTGCCACCAAGTTCGTAGAGAACGAGGGGAGGTGGAGACCTGACAGTGTGCCCGACGGGACCGCAGGGCAGGGAAGGACAGTGGAAGAGGTCGCAATGACCGGACCCCCAGAGGGGTCAGCAAGGGAGACAGCAACTGGCCGAGCAAGCGGCTCAAGGGCAGTGCGGTCACGAAAGAAGCAGCGAGAAGCACCTGAGTCCAGTGTGAAGGTGTGCAGTGCAGCAGTCGACGCAGTACCAAGGGGGGGAGAAACACGAGCACCTAGAGCAGCAGCCTCACCAGCACCTGGGGTAGCCGACACACGAGTACCTGGAGCGGCAGACGCACTGGCCCTAATGCCCGGGTCGGGCGGCACACACAAGTACTCAGCACCCTCTCCACTAGTAGACATGACATACATGGCAGATAGAATAGCATCAAAGTCTAGAGCATAGATATCAATCCCCTTCTTCAGGAGATCAAGCCAGCGGGGCAGCTCAGTGGCCTGAGGGAACTGAACACGCCAAGCGTCGTCGAGACGAGAGAAGCAGCGCTGTGTGGTGTGCGGTCGTCCACACTGCTGACCAGTGCGGTCACCAGTGCGAATGACGTACGTGCAGCTAAGACCACCCCCACCCCCGTGCTGAGAGTACCACTCACGGACCTCCTGGGGCGAGGGAGTGTGCTGCTGGCCCTGGCCACCGCCAGTGCCTCCACGGCCACCACCACCGCTGCCACCTCCTCGACCACCCCAACCCCTGCTGCCGCCTCAACCACCGCCACCCCAACCGCTGCCTCCACTCCTGCCACCTCCCCCGCCGCTACCACTCGCCCCTCCAGCCGAGCCACCACCCCCACTGCCTCCACCGCCCCCACCGCCGCCTCCCCCGCCGTCACCGCCACCACCCTTGCCCCCTTTGCCCTTGCCGTTGCGGCGTCCGCTCGAGGCAGACGCAGCGCCGACCTTCTCAGTACTAAGAAGGTCGACAGCAGCAGCAGAGGCGACAGAGGGAAGAAGGGGGGAAGGAGATCACCCCTCAATGAACGGGGTACGGGGGTCGCCACGAGAGGCACCTACAGCGACTATGCTAGTTTCAGCTGCAAGTAGCTCCTTCTCGAGGAGGGCAATGGTGAGCTCAGTGGGGCAACGAGCTAGGAAGTGGTCCCTGACAGCACGCAGTGTGTCAGGGAGGCGGGTGACTAGGTGGTAGAGAGTGAGCCAGAGTGGAGGGGGGTGCGTGGCAAGGAACTCAGCAGGCATGGCGGCACGGAAGCGGGCCTCACTAGTACGGAGGTGCGTGATGAGGTCAGCAACTGTGTGAAAGGAGGCCAGGTCGGGAAACAGGTAGGGGAGGGAGAGACGGCCTAGTGCGGCAGAGGCAGGTGAGGAGTAGCGAGCAACTACATCTGTGTACAGTGCTTGTGCAGTCTTGTGCTGACCAAAGTGCTCGCGTTCGTCTATCGGCAGGGAGTTGCGAATGGCGAAGCGAGCGTGGGCATCACGAGTCTGCCACTGTGAGCGAGCAGTGCTGTCAGCAGTAGCAGCAGGGGCAGTGACATGGCCTAGGGCGTGATCGTACAGTGAGATGTCATCCTTGGCTGTGAGCTGTAGGTAGAGGTGCAGGTCATCGAGCCAGGTGTCAAACTTCACAGGGCGGCCCTCAGCATCGAACACGAGAACCTGTGGGCTAGCCATAGGAACAGTAGAAATAGCAGCAGTAGCAGTAGGAGAAGCAGGTAGGACGAACCAGGTAGGGCAGGGCGGCGCGGCTCGGTTCAGGTCGGGTCGCGGCTCGGCTGGGTGGCGCGGCTCGGTTCAGGGCGCGCGGCTCGGCTCGGGGCGCGCGGCTCGGGTCGCGCGGCTCGGGTCACGGCGGGGACGGGCCGCCCGCTCTCCCTCGTGTGCTGCGGCGGGAACGGGCCGCCCAGGGCCTCTAGGTGGTGGGCACGGGTCGGCGAGGTCGGCACGGGGCCGGTTGGGGCCCTAGAGGGGCGAGCGCGGGGCCGATCGGGGCCTGAGCGGGGCTAGCGCGGGGCCAAACAGGGCCTTGACCGGGCTAGCAAGGGTCCGACGGGGCCTGAACGGGGCTAGCGCGGGGCCGACGGGGCCTGAATGGGGCTAGCGCGGGGCCGACGGGGCCTGAAACGGGGCTAGCGCGGACCGACGGGGCCTGAGAGGGGCTAGCGCGGGGCCGATGGGGCCTGAAACGGGGCCAACGGGGCCTGAAACGGGGCTAGCGCGGGCCGACGGGGCCTGAGAGGGGCTAGCCCGGGGCCGACGGGGCCTGAAACGGGGTCGACGGGGCCTGAACGGGGCTAGCGCGGGGCCTGAACGGGGCCTTAAAGGGAGAGCGGGCGTGGGGCCGACGGGGCCTGAACGGGGCTAGCGCGGGGCCGCCAAGAGGGGCCTCTAGGGGCGTGACACGCCAAGGCGCCCTAGGGCACAGGTAGGTAGGTAGGTAGGTAGTTACGTAGTGGTGGGCCCTTAGAAAAATTCGGTCCTAGGAAGGACCTGCTCTGATACCATGTTGGAATCACTGAACAGGAATGAATGAACTAGCAGTGAAATGAGTACAAGTACCTAGCCCTAGAATTGTGTACCCCCTATAGGCTAACCCACTGTAGCCTAAACTAACAGAA